TTATATATATATATATATATATATATATATATATATATATATATATATATATATATATATATATATATATATACATATAAAAGAATAGATATCTAGAAAAACTGATACATTGTATTCTTTTAATTACCCTCAAATCTTTTACTTATATATACATATAAAAGAAAAGATATCCAGGAAAACTGATACATGCTATTCTTTTAATTATCCTCAAATCTTCTTTTTTTATTAAAGAAGATTTGTTGAATACTTTACATTACAGTAGTTATAGATTTGTTGAATACATTAGTATGTAATGTAGTTCATAATATTGTAAAGATGTTATTGTCTCAAACTATGGCCTAAATGGTATGAGCATTATGAATACTATTTCATATAATATTTTTTTAATTAATAAAAAAACACTTAATGATCGAATCTAAAGTAATAAATAGTCCACAGTTTGTAGCCCTAGAATGGACTTGTCAAGTGAACCTCTTCATCTCCTTAGTTTCTCTTGTTTGCTTCAAAATTATGTAGCATTGCAAGCTACTAAGCTTCTCCCACATCCAACACAATGGACACATTGAAGTCAGAGACGTCGGCAGTTCAACTATTGCTGCAGTGCATCGAACGAAGAACGCGTCACAGCCGTCGCATTCAATACCTTTTTCACAAGCTTCCTTTTCAAGAACAATGCTCACGAGTTTTGTGACGAATTTGAGTTGTTTTAATAGCAGAATGTCCAAAGTAAGTTATACATAAATTTAGTCTACATTTCCAAGGTTGGGTGTTTGACTCCTAACAAAGGCAAAAGTTAGAACCAAAGACAAGATGTCTCGGTGGGGAAGAACAATGTAGCGGTAGAACAAAGGACAAATTTCTTTTCTTGTTTTGTTAGTCTAGAATTTAATTTGGGGTTTGTTTGATTGGCTGCAAGTGTTCTAAGTCAAAGTGATACGACCTCACCAAGAATTCAGTTGTTGTTGGTTGATGAACCTCCATCTTTTCTTTCTTTTAACGAACAAAACTAAGAAGGGCTTAGTGATCATCTCCTGAATTTTCAATTCCATAACTTTCCGACACAAAGATCATTTAGAATATGACTTTATTCTTGCACAAGATCATCTGGAATATATATTATCTAAATACTGCTCGTGGACTAATAATCTTCCTACTCATTTTTGTATAAATGTTTTCATGTTTTTTGATCATCTTCAAGATGAAGAAGATGAAGATGAATGAATGAATGAGCTTTTTATTTTTTATAGCACCGCCACCAAGTCCTTATAATACAAATTTAATTATTGTCTAATTTCCGATATAGGCTAGACTAAGGGTGTTATGTCTATTTTATTTATTGGTTTGTCATTGGAAATTAAATATTATCTTTATTCAAGTAAGCTATTTGAGATAATAGCGGATTAAGAAATTTACCAAATGAATCATTCAATAGTATGTTGTTTCAAAAAAAAAAAAAATTTACTATATCAAACTCAATAATTGAAGATTAAGTAAGAAACCTAACTCTTTAATCTCATAGAGTGTTAACTGACATTAACATGATTCTGAAACCAACCAAGTGAATCAATGGACTTTTTTTCTTGTCATAAATAGGTTGGTGGAAGCTGCACCTTTCCTTGGCACAAGAAATTCTTCTTGTCCTTGAAGAATTTTGTTGCCATGGCATTTATTGATTGACACATACATCATCATATAAATTTCTTTGTCAGAGGAGGCAGCAAATTGACCATGGAAGAAGAATCTTCAGTGACAGATGATTAAATCCATCACAGAAATAATTGTGCCAGCCAGAGATTCCTGACAAAGTTGGCTGAGACAAGATAAGATTACAATATCCACATGCTGTTGAATGTTTCTTAGCTCTCTGCATGTGGTTGGTGATTTGATGCTTTATGTGACCTACCCTTTGACACTAAAATGAATGTCTAGCCTATTCTGGAATGTTCTACCTATTGCAGAAAGTAGAAATCTTCAAAAAGAAGAAATATATTAGTCAGTGATTATATTAGAAGTTGCTGCAAGGGTGTCACTTGACAATGGTTTATACAGATTCAGATAGATTAAATGACAATGTCAACCTTCCAAAGTGGAATCACACAAACAAGAGTTGGATTGGAGCTGAAATGTGAGGATAATATTTGGTTTACTGAATCTGTATATTTTTTTTCTGCACCAACAGAGTTGCTGATGAACACTGTTTTCTGATCTTGATACAGAAGTCAGATCAGGTCATAAAGCATGTACAGGTCAAGTAGAAACATTCTGAATTGGATCTTCACATATAGAAAATGTTTTTGACTCTTTAAGAATATTCCTAAGATTGTTTTTAGTGACTCATATAGCTTAACTAAACTAACTAATTCTTCAAGCAACTTATCTCTGCTATGTGTAAAAGAGAGAGAGAGAGAGAGAGAGAGAAGCAACCAACATGTGATATATAGATTGTTCTTCCAATCCATCTGATACTGTTATGGAAAGCTGCATTCTGCAAACAAAGCCTTCCATGTTCCATTATGGCATCACTAGATGGGCCATGTTTTGCCTGCAAAGATAACCTCATTTTACAGCAAATTGGAATCAAAATTAACCAAAGTCTAAAATAAGGTAAGCAAACTTCATTGATTTTTCCCCTTTAGATATGGCATGAATCTTAACTTGCTCTCCTACTTGCATAGATTGAAAGGGATATGGTTATCTGTCCACATCTATCAGAATCAACCAAGTTAAACTTATCTGCTATTTCAATCTCTTAAAAACAGAACTTTATAAGCAACATTTGTGCCTTCCTTCAATGGAAAAATAAACTTCCACATTTAACACCAAACAAAGGGAAACAAAAAAACTGATTTGAATGGCTCTCTCAATTTAGCTGCCAAGAAAGCATACATAAACCTCCACTTGTTGCCTGAAGAACTCATCTGGCTCACAAACACAGTAGGCAATAAATAAAACAGCATCCACCATTATTAGCTGTGAGGATAAGATGAAGCTGGAGGTTGGGGATTGCTTCTGACTCAGGTTTACCCCACAAAAACCAGACAAGCAAACAAACACCATTATGTTCCAATCTTCGACTCCCCTTTCCAAACAAACACAACTGGTAATCCACTGGAGAGTTAAACACACACACACACACATATATATATATATATATATATATATATATATATATATATATTCTTCTCTTCCAAGAAACCACCATAACAGAAAAACAAAGCCATCCTCATAATTTTGGTAGATATAAACCTTGATATTATGTTTACAAGTAAAAAGAATTATTTTGATGACTCAAAACATTTATATCGTAAATGACTAAGGATAAATTCCCGATAAAAATTGTTTATCTTAACTATTTTTTTTTTAAAATAGCATCCTATTTTCATTTTTTATATAAAAAACCATTTTTATTAACTTTTCAACCTTACCCCTCAAAGAGTTCCTCAACCTTTTTTTTTCATTTTTGTGTCTTCTTCTTGACTTGATTCAGTATCTGTGTATGTTTGATTCAATAAATTTCAAATTGGTTCAAATAAATTCAAGGTAGTTTGATAATTTTTGTTTATATAAACCTACAAATTATTAAAAAGAAAAATTTTAAGAAATAAATTTTATATTTTAACATAAGAATAGTAAAAAATTATAAATTGATTTAGTACATATCAGAGTAAACTTTAGATTTTTATATCTTGAAATAATATTTTAGTACAATGCCTATAATTTTTAACAGAATTAAAAATATTTCTAATAGTTATATATCCTTAAACTTTATTTTAAAAATAAGGACTTGGATTATACTTTTTTTATGCTTTCGAAATAGTTTCTAATGTTTGTAATTTTTAACAAATTTTCAAATTTATTTTTTTCATATTATTACATTTTTATTATTAATTTGGTTCAGTTTAATTTATTGGACTGATTATTAGTGCCTCGAATCTGACTAAGAAAAAAAGCTAAAAAAGAGAGGGAAAATAAAACACAAATATTTTTCAGATCAGAAAAAGTAGGAACGCTCTATGGATAAAGAAAAAAATAAAAATAAGATGTCATTAAAAAAAGAATAAAAATCCAATAGCTTTTTTTTGTCGAGAATTCATCCAAAGATTCAACGGAAATCTATTCCCCCACCTTCGATACCAAATCTATTGAATGGGCCCACAATCTTTGGTTGTTGGGTGCAAGAGATAGAGAGACAGAGAGGCATCGGTGGGTGCCACCCATGACACATGCCATACTGGCCCACAGGTGGCTGCAGCCAATCACTGACCGAGCTGCGGGAATGATAGCAAAAACCAACAAAGCAATTGAATGGGAGAGGGGGGAGAGAGAGAAGAGAGAGAGAGAGAGAGAGAGAGAGAGAGAGAGAGAGAGAGT